CGGAGTCGGTTATTGAGGATGCTGGGAAGACCTAGGGAGGACTGGTCGGAGATGTTTGAAACTTGAAATGGTTAGGTTTATCAACTGTATTCAGTACAAAAATGGCGATGAGTGCAACATCGATTTCCAAGATAGAGATTCTGTGTAGGACAAAAATAGGCTTCATAATATGTTAACATAAGCATTCATGGTGTTAGTCGATAAGAAGTAAGACGAGGAGATCAAAAGTCTATTAGAAAATAGAAAAGCATCAGAAAAAATCAATTCCTCACTCCCGCGATCTTCCATATCGCTCCCCCTTGGGCTACCCATAAACTGGCAAGTTCCATCAACCAAGCTATGTGACGACGGGATTTGGAGGAATTATCCAGGGTTATCCCGTCCTGATCAGGGATTACACCTTACCTTAGCTGCACCTCCCAAAGTACATAAGCAGTACCATAAGTCCTGTGCTTCTACCAGTCTGTAGGCTTCAACCTCGAGTATAGTAGGTAATCAAAGCTACATGAAGTATATAAGTTAGCGAACACCTAAATGGCCAAGACCAGGATGACATGATGATCGATGCTTCTGATCTGGCTACTCAGCATGAGAAGATGCCTGAACAACGCTCCATAGCCGGTTCCGAACATACCCAAGAAGTGCCGAAAGAACAGCATTGAAGGTTTGCAGTCCGTGACACTGACAAGGGCTTCATGGAAGTACTTGATTTCAGGGACCCCAAGCACCCATATGCCACAAAGGTACATATATTCTCCAAAAAGCTGCGAAAAGGGGGCTTTGAAATGAAGTATAAAAGCTTTTTCAAGACAGAAGTCATCATAATGGTACAACGAGCAAGAGACCTACGACGGTCCAAGACATATGCAGCGCAAAGACGTTTTCTCTACCTCGACACAGGGAATTTGCATTCAATGGGCTCTCTTTTGCATCATTGTGTCGAGCTCTAATGAATTCCCGTATTCAAAAAAAGAAAAAGGGCGAAGAGAAGAAGGAATGTTGCCGGATTATAACCCAGACCAACAACCTTTGTGGTTGTTCTGCGCATACATGCATTGGGTTGAGTTTGAAGTAGTCATCGAAGGATATGATGGACGTTGCTTTCATCTCAAAAGCTTCTCCACTATCTTCATCAAATGAAGGACGAAGTATATAGCACGTGAACTCTTGCAAACCTGCACTACGAACATCTCCGCGCTTGCGAACATATAATTTCTCGATCTATATAGAACAATTGTCAGAATATATTGTTCGGCAGAGCAAAAGCAGAATGCGCTAAGGCTACAGCGTGGTTGATACTCATTTCTTGTTTCTAAGGCTTTGTGATGCCTGGAGTTTGGAATGAGGTTGCTGGTGGCTCGTTGCATGGAAGCAGCATATTAAATTCTCCGTTTTCTCGGTCTCGTCATGTCTACAGTACAGGAGTGGGCAAGGTTGAAGATAAATGTGCGATTGTGGAATGGCGGTTGCGGAACCTAGGACCTGATCATCGACCCACACTGACTGGAGAGGAAAGGCACAGAGAACATAACCGGGTATTAATGTGGGTTTCTTTGAACGATAGAACCACGATATCCCCACAGCAGGTGATTCTCTCATAATCTACCGAGTCGAGGGAATGGGAACAATAAGCCGCAGGCTTTGACGTACTCAGAAAGCCCAATATTCCAGCCAGTCGTTGGAACAATATACCCAGGCTTTGACTTCGGCACGCAAATGTCTTTATATCCAATGCAATGCGAACATACCCTGACCAAGGTATATTACCAGGGGTTAACGAGGTTATGATGACTATGAGACTGATTTGATAATATACTAGACAGCCGATCTCAGATGTCATTGGCAGGGCTGTACCAAAGAGACATGTGCAGACAGTTCACAAACCCAAAACAGGATTCAAAATGACATCTGATGGGCATTTCAAAATTTCTATATAGAATATATCATTCGAAGCAACTGGAGACATGGAGTCAGGTTTCAAGTCAACCGAGAACACTCAGTATGTCGGGTGGGTAAAATCAGAGCCCCCATACACGCTTGTTGCCTGGGGGCTGCATTCAAGCACAGCTCTTGTAACCACCCTCGCGAAGTGGATTGACCCTGCGTGCTACTATATAGGGATCCTAGGAAATACATATATCATAGTCATGTGGATACGGGAACGCAGAACCACGGCTATGACCATGGTTCTGTCCTGACTTTACCTGGAAAGCTTCGCTCTGACGACCCGTATCCGTCATTCCTTCCAGCTCAATGGACGAGAGGATGGAGTATTCATCTTCCCCAAACTAACCTACCTTTGGGGGCGGGTGCCCTTTTCGTTGGTATCGCGTCATTCAGATGTTGGGTAGCCGAACATGACTGGGTCCTCTGTTGGAGGGATGTAACATGGAAATCATAATGCCAGCTATCCCAACAGTCATGTGTATATCTTGCATGAGAAATCGAATTATTCTCATTGGCAAGAAAGGTACAGAGCGAAGTGTCTCTGTGTGGGATCAGATGGAAAAGAAGGCGGCCTATTGTGTTTCCTCCTTTCACAACTACAATGAGCAAAGTTTCGCAGACTTTGTCACCACAGGTATAGGAGACGAAAAAAAGCAATTATTGCAGAAACAGCCTAAGCAGCAGAGTATGTCAAACATGAATATTGGAAGGGTCTGCAACTGGAAGAAACCAAGCAATGCTACAAGGGGCTGGTGTTCCTTTCCAGAACAGGACCTCCCCAAGTTGGGGTGTAAGATTGACTTGGTGGAGTACTATGTGGGGATCGGATCACATCTAGTATTTTCCCGTCCCGCACCGGACTAGAATTTTAAATTGTGCTTCACTCCGGACCGCCACATCTGAGCACCCGCACAGACTTGGACCCACAGAATAGCACCATGCTTGCTTAGAAGCATGCGATGATGCTGGCTCCAGGTGTGCAGCATGCAGCTGACGACTGGCTGGGGTAGCAATTGTTGGTGAGTTTATCTCATTTCTCACATCAATCGTCAGCCCTATTGGAACAACTCACATACTCACCCTCAGCACAAGCTTCATGTCTCCTGTGGGCTGCAAGCAGATACTCAAGTTAACCAGTATCAATGTGTTCCTCGAAAAATATGTCATATGAAGATTTGCTACAGCGATTCGTCAATTTTCGCTGTCCCCTAGGTTTCTGACACCATACGGTCCCTATAGCTACACTTAGATAGTAAGAGATCGATTGTGTATATCACGTGCACCGCAGGTGGCCAGCCACGGTACACAGACGAGAGATTCCAATAAAATGATGTTGTGACAATCCCAAAATACGATAGTGATTACTGCATGAGCCTCAGCAAGGCCAGAAATCACCAAAACTCCCACCATACTGTAAACGTTTAGTCGCCTACTCGTACCTATGGTCTTCATAACTGTGCATAATAATTACGTAAGGTATACAGAGCATAAAGGTATGTGGCCTGAGGCAGGAACGGCTGAAGCGCAGCGATAATTGTGCTGCCTACCACTGCAGCTCCCACACACAGTAAGAATTTAGATAATCAAATACACACTACTATGATCATGAATAAGTCCTAAGCAGCTTGAAGCGTAAGAATATCTGCGTATCATTCATCGGAGGGAGAGCACACTCTTGTTTGACCGATACGCGGCAATTCGGCAGAATTTCCTGGGTTAGTTGCAGGGCCCACGAGTAGCATCATATCGACTGTGTCAAATCCACAACATGTAAGACCCTGAGGTTACAGTTTTTTGTCTGTTCACGGGTTATGGGATTGGTTCTAGACTTGGTCGGCGTTCAGGATCAACACCCGAACAACCTGTAAGAAACGATCCAGGAGAGTGGATTATATACCTTCAGTTGATTACCCGCCCGTCTGCGGGCCCATGGTTCCTAAGTATGCTCTCAGGTATACTTGAGAGGGTGTATGTTGTCCCAGGTCCGCCAGGTTCTACGTATTCTCAGCCCTTACCAGCAAGAGATCTGGTCACAAGTAGTAGCGACCACGGAAAATCTTCACTGGAGAAGCGGTAGGCTCCCTTCTTCTCTGAAGGATTGCCTTCCCTGCACAACCGTCCTCTCATATTCGCAGCACCATCAAAGAAGCGCCCACTCGGGCTTGAGCCTGCAGGCGAATTTCCCCCCCCCCCCCAGCCTCGCGCCGCATTTGCTGCTGATTCAAATACCTTAGTTACCATTGTGATTTGCAGGGTAGCTTACTACGGAAGTTTCTTGTGTGTGGATGGGTGCCTTCGCCACACCCGATACCTGCACCTGCACCTAAACTTGCCCGTCGTATCCGAGGAATCGGTTCCTGTCTTCTACCTGGTATTCTCCGTACAGGCCGTGGGGTTCTTCGAATTGCTTCTATAACAACATAACTTTTTCCATTACTGGAGCGATAACAAATGGTAAAAACCATCTGGATTTTTAGGAGTTTTCTCACTAAGGATCCAGAGAGAGCACCATCAGTTACTTAGTCCGAGAAAGTCGCTCGATTGGTCAAGTAGTTGCGAGACGAGTTTATAATTACTCGAGTTGATTCTTTAGAAACAATTAGAGACGATACTTTCGATGGTAGATTGAGAGTGTTGCTGTAATCTTTCTGTGGGCTTGGATGGAGAATCCCTGTCACACAATGATCGGAAAAGGTTAGCTTTCCGGGGAAGGCCATAGTACTAACGGACAGATGATCCACCAGCCCTGGCCTCGCCTCTCTCTGATTCTTTCCACCCATGTGTCCAACTTCTGTTACTTGACTTTCGCAGGCCCATTCCAACTTCTGGATCACCGCGTTTTCTACGAAGTTTACGCTGTTTCCCGCCCCGTCCCACAGTAGTATATAAATCCTGTAAATTTCCACTGCTATCATCATATACTGCTAATTGTACAAGTATCTCCCAGCTATCCTTACTTCTGTCTGTTACTCCATTAAGCTTTCAGCGATTCTTTTATACCAACCTTGTCCATTTCGGGGTTTACTCTACTTAATACGACAACATCCTTAAGAATGCAGAACGTCCCGGTCGGCAATTCGAGTCCCAGCGGGAATGCTCGTTATGTCAGCCATACTACTACTACCGTACCGGCCACTCAAGAAATTCAACCTGCAACAACCCTAGTTGGCCAACAACCAGGCAACAATGCGCACTTCAGCTCAGTACTAGTAGAAGACCCAGCAGCGGCATTCCCGTTTCACATCGACCCAGTCAACCAAAATCTCCCTGGCTATCCGACCGCTATGGCCCCGCCCCCTGCCATTAACAACTTCGACCCCAGTCAGCTTGCTCTTCGGTTGGATGCGTACCAGCCACGAGTGGAGATTCCAGAACAATTCTTCGTGAACCACCAACCCATGGCTCCCTTGCCGGAAGCTCCTGCGGGCCTACCCGCGCTGGCCCATAGCACACACGGAGGTCTCAGGCAACAACCTCCGAGTATGACGTAAGTACAGAGACTCAAGTACTTGTCATAGTAGTTGATACTTTTCTACAATGATCCAATTCTAATGACGAGAGATGCGATACAGACCCCGAGATGCTCCCCTTCTCTGCAAATGGGAAGGCTGTACGCATACACGAACCTTTAGCCGGAAAGAAGAGTTGTTCCGACATGTCAAAAACATCCATATCGCTCCTCGGTCTTACCCTTGCGAAGTTTGCGGTCGGCGATTCAACCAAGCGTACAATAGAACAGCCCATATGCGCAGTTGGCATTGGGTGGAATGGCCTTCGGGAGTGTATCGTGCGTGAAGCTGAAGGGTTGGCTCGTACCTGATGTTCTTCTTTCTTTTCGGGATTCTTTTGTACTGTGTCCATTTTTTGTTTTTTATCTTTTTCCTTTTCCAGATCTCTTTTGATCTCTTAATTACCTTTCGGGACTAGAGCATTTTAGATCATGTATAAATAATAAGGAGCACCGTTCCTAGTACTGCGCCAGCTGTGAACCGCGATCGGTGCCTTGCATTTAAGGTCGACGTCTGGGGATGTGGGTATTGTCAGCACTTAGCACATAATGGAGACATGAGTTTTGACCGTTAGTGTGACCAAAAAAAAAAAAAAAAAAAAAAAAAAAAAAAAAAAAAAAAAAAAAAAGAAAGAAAGAAAGAAAGAAAGAAAGAAAGATAAGATAAAACAGAAAAATCTCTCGCTAGGGAAGAAAAATATTGAGATCACCTTGAGACTTGCTTCCACGGTCATGCGTTAGGGCAAACTGAAGGCCAAGTAAAGGTAAAGACATCTCCGCGACACACTCTACCAATGAGAGTACATCGCTGGGCTGGGGCCGTTCAAGAGGTTAAACCCCTAGGCCATCTTCAGTCCATCCAGGGAATAAAATCGATCCGCTTAGTAACCAGTCTAGGCCTGTGTCGGGTGGTGGGAGAAGGGCTACTGCCCAACACCGCGCCCCCATCTGGCGCGATATGATGGGTTTGACATGCAGGTAATCCGGATTAATTTTTTTTTTTCCCTCTAATATAGATTTTAACTGTTAATTTCCAGACTACCCGTCGTCGTGCGCGAGGAAGATGATCCTGGTAGGTACATACGGAATAGTGGTCCTCCTATCAGCCAATATTTATCTCCCATTCCAACTAGTGTGGCGCCCCCAAAAAGCAAGCTACAGGTTAAAGAGGGTGGATTAACTGGCGGGCGTCGAGTGTAAGGCAAGAGGAGGAGAAAGAGGTCCCGGGGTGTGGCATGCAGGAGTGTTTCAACTTTCAACTTCCCTCTGGTTCAGCCAGTGGGCCTACCATGGCGTCCTAAAAAAGTTGTTTAAGTGCCAGGGCATTATCTAGCCCCCCCCTCAAGGCTTCTGCCAACCTTGGCGAGGGTAGTAATGGGTACCTAACGAGCGGTGAGAGCGCAGGTACAAACTACGTACAAAGAGTGAAGAAGGATAATAATCATTCTTACTTTTATTTCCATTGTCGTTCTTCTCTTTTTCCCGTCTTCCCTGCGTCCATTTTGTCTTTATTTTTTCCATTATAGTTTTGTCCATTTCCGTTTTTTCCTTTTTTTTTTTTTTTGTTTTTCCTTTTCTGGGTTTTTCCCTGATTATGTTTCCATTTCTGTATTTTCCAGATTTAATTTTTCCATTTCCCCCCCATTCTTATTTATTTCTATGCCGTTTCAAATGGAAGATGCTGATAAGGTTCTGCTTTGAATGAACTGTATCCGGATAATGTTGGATCTGGACAACAGGTTACTTACTGCTACTACTATAGAAGACGCCCAGGCAAGTGTCAGGGGGTCAATAGTAGTAGTAGGAGTAGTAGGAGTGGTAGGAGTGGTAGGAGTGGTAGGAGT